GCTGTGGGGCTGTGCCAGGGGCTGTGGGGCTGTGCCAGGGCTGTGGGGTACCTGCCCCACACAGGCAGCTCTTCCTGGGCAGGGACTCTGAGGCTGCAGTGCCCCACACTCAGGTAGCTGCAGTAAGGCAGAGGGAGTCAAACTTCTCTTTATCTCTGAGCTGCACCTTTCCGAGCAAATTAAAAGGGCTTTGACACGTTAGCAAACTGCTATTGCATGGTTGTAATGACCGATTTCTCAGTTCTGCCTGACTCTCCCTCGGCTGAACCTTTTAAAATTAGCTGAAAATGAGCAGCCGAAGAGCAGGACTGCAAGGGAGCTGAGGGGTTGCCTGGGCAGCCCTCCCGGGAAGAGCTCTGCTAATGAAGCTTTTCTGAAAATGAATCAAACCTGTAACTACCTGTGAACACTGAGACTTGAGGGTGGAAAATTCCCTGGTGAGGTGCACGGGTTGGAAGAGTGACTCCTTGTGGTCCTGGACCACAGTGTGATAGGAATGTGGGCTCATAGGCAGCCAAAGCCAAGGATCTCTACTTCTTTCTCAGATTATTTGAAAAATCCCATGAAGCATAAAGAAAGGGGAAAACAGTCATGTTTGTTCTGAAAAGAGTTGCTTTCTTTTTAGCTTTCACCAAAGTCTACCATTTCTGTATACATAAAGAATGGAATTCATTATTAAAGCTGAATTACTATGGCATTTCAAAGAGAAGATAAAATCTGTGGCCAGAGATATTATTACGAAATATTCCATATAATAATTGTGTGATTATTATGGACAGAAATGAAAGTAAGTGTTCATTAAAAGAAAATGACCATGAAATAGCAGTAAATGAAGTAAATTAAAGAGATGGTGATTGCATAACCCGTCCTGCCCGTGTGCGGTGGTGCAGGCACAGGGATGTGAGGGCAATTAGGAGTAAGAGCTCAGATATAAGAGATGTGCAGCAGGCACCACACTTTTCCTTGCAGGTGAGCTGGGAAGATGCTGGGCCCAGACACCTGTATGCCACCAGCAGCCCCAGGCGTGATTCCAGAGGCCAGGACAGCGCTGCACATACTGGGCTCTCCTGGTGCCTTGGTCACAGCTCACCCCAGCAGGGCTGCCCAGGGCGGTGGGCAGGAGATGGGCTGAGCTCTCTGAGATGTCCTGGTGGCTGTTTCTCTTCCAGTGCACGTAGAGCCAGGCACATGCGAAGTCATCGCAGCTCACCGGTGCTGCAATAAGAACAAGATCGAGGAGCGCTCCCAGACGGTGAAATGCTCCTGTTTCCCAGGACAGGTGGCAGGGACAACACGAGCGGCTCCCTCCTGCGTGGACGGTGAGTACCCCATGGTGCAGCCCCTTCCTTTTCAATCCCCGACCTCATCTTCACCTTTAAACAGGTGTGGGGTTTCCATGTCCCTGGCATTAACAGAGGAGACCTGCCCTGGCATCCTGCAGCAGAGCAGTGGGAAAGCGGGCACATTCAGGGGACACTCTCATTGGAGACTCACTCAGTTGGTGGCTGTCATACTCCACTCTGTGCAGCCCTGGGCTGTGTGCTGTGGGGGAGTTACTGGGGTCACTGTGCTGGGGTCAGGTCTGCAGCACCGATCCCTGGCACATCTCCTCACCCTGCTGCCACAGCTGGAAGCAGGAATATGATTCCAGCCATGCAGCATTTTTGCCTGTGAGGAGCACCAATCATACAAACGGTATGTTTTATTGAATGCCATCATCTGCCATGACCAAAGAGCCATCAGGAGCACTGCCAGCCCCTGCCAGCATGGATTTGTTTGACAGCCAGTGCCCTGTGACTGAAGTTCTGTGCAACACCAAGTAATGCCAGAATAAATTACCAGGGAAGGCTCTTGTTGTTCCCAGCTGCTCAGGTCATATTGTTCCCAAAGAGAGCCCACTCTGGTTGCCCAAACTGGAGCCATGAATCACACGACCCTATTAGGGCAGAGTGGTAGGAGACAATCACTTTGCTCTGTAAGTGGAGCCTGAAACAGGTTCTTGAACAGCACTGCTCTCCCTAGGAGCAAGGACACTGGTCTTTTTTTCCTTGGATAGTGAGAGAAAACAGGGTGTTCTGGAGGCAGGTGGAGCAGTTGGGTCAGGTGAGGCCAGGAAGGTGACAAGCAGCTCCTTGTCCAGGGCTGAGCTGTGAGCTGTGCTGGAGAGAGGGGCTGCATCTCCCGGTGTCACCCAAAGGTGGGCAGAGCTGGTCCTCATAGCCTGTGCTGCAGCCTGGCCGCTGATCCCCTCCTCTCCCCCAGCCTCCATCGTGCTGCAGAAGTGGTGGTGCCAGATGGAGCCGTGTCTCGACGGGGAGGAATGCAAAGTGCTGCCTGACCTCTCGGGATGGAGCTGCAGCAGTGGCAACAAAGTGAAGACGACCAAGGTACCTCCCTGTCAGGTGATGGGAGGAGCCCAGGTGTGCCTTCCACAGCCTGGACAAGCAAGCAAAAGTCAGGAGAGCACCCACAGTTCTGTGGGGAAGGAGAGAGCTGCAGATCCTTCAGGGCACACACTGATAATGACTCACCGAAGCAGAGCAGAGGGTCTGGGCTGTGCACTTGTCACTGGTGCTGGAGGGGCTGGCAGGCATACCACAGCCCTGAGTGGATCCCAGAGCTTTTCCCATTGATCATTCTTGCTAGAAGGTTTGGTGTTGGATGGCTCAACCCTGAGCAGACATCCTAGGTGTGTCTGTGTAACATCCCAGGGCTCCCAGAGTGTCCAGGTTGCCCCAGCACCACCCGCTGCTCCGGGGCCACACGGTGCCCTTCCCAACCCAGTGGCACAGCCCTGAATCTGTCCCTGTTCCCCATCTGAGGCAGTCATTTGTGACAGAGCACTACACAATTATTATTTTCATGGCTTGCTGAATGCCCCAAAGAACAAGGTGTAATTAAAATTTTATCAAACTCATTAGCAATTACATATATGCCATAGTTAATCAGTTGCATAATTTTGTAATCATTGTTCGTAGTGTTGAGTGTAATTATTCCTTATGCTTTCATTTTCCTCGCCCCACATCCCCCATCATAAAATTTTTGTATTAAGCAATGTCAGGATTTTTTTCATTGCTGCTATTACTTTTGTGCACAGAAAGCACTTTCATGCTGAAGTGTTTTTATGGATATCCAAAAAGGTTCCTTCATCCCTGAGCACCCATCACTGACCAGAAACTACAGCATTACATTGAGCTAGTTGTCTTTTTCCCCTTTTAGTGTTGTTTGATTGGTTTCCCCCAGCAACTAACTTAGCACAAAGCCTCTACTCTGGCTTTGCTGTCTTGAATTCTCACTGAGATCGTTCCCATCTGGAATGGGAGTAGGACTCAGGAGCTTCTGCGCTCCTGCCTCATCCAGCAGACCCCTCCATGGCCAACCTCCTTTTGGGTGCCATGTCCTCCTTAGGGAGCTGGCAGTTTGGGAACACAGATCTGTATTTTCAAAAGGACTTCTAGTAACTTTGGATGACTTTAGTGACTTTGGAATGGCGCCAAAGGGCTGGATTTGCATCTCAGTGCCCTATGCCCTCAGTGGGAGCTGCAGCCGGAGCACAAAAATCACAAACCATCCTTAAGGTGACATTTGGAATGGCCACTCCATTAAATGAAAGTAAAGAGCCAATCTTATTTGCACCTCTCGAGGCTGTTTGCTGATAATTCATGGATGGGGAATCAGCTGGGATCAGCATCGGATAATTTCTCCTCTCCTCCACAGGTCACTCGATAGCCTCCGTGCAGCGTGGCACTGGCTGAGCAGCCTTGCTGTGGGTCCTGGTGCTCCCGTGAGCAGCAGGATGTGGCGCAGTGCCTGCAGAGGTGGGATGCTCCAGGGCCACCACGCTGCACCCGTCAGTAGGACTGTGACAGCTGCTGGATCAAAGCATCTGCTGCACCCCAGCTTCCCTGGAGGCTGCAGGCAGGGATCCCAGTGCAGCTGCCAGAATCCCATCACTCCACAGTTTCCTCCTTTTCTGTGGACACATTCACCAACCAAGAAATGGGCTTGTTTTCTAATCCTCCTAAATAAAATACTCCCACTGTATAAGGGTTGACAATGCAGAGACTGACAGGCAGCAGGCCTCCAAAATGGGCTTTAATCTGAATAGCTGAAATCCTTGCTGTGAGTCGCCTTTCCCTATCTCCCAAGATGCTGAATACAAGTTGCAGTCAGGAACTCTGCCCTCGGAGTCTGAGCTTTCCCTGCCCCACCACCTTCCTGCTATGACCACATGCAGCAGATGTGACAGCGTAGTCAGAGGGTTGCCTGACACCCTGTTGACTCCCAGGGATGGTGAGACGTCTCCATGGTGCATGCTGCTGGTTTCTCCTTTCTCAGTAATTGCATTAATCAGGTTGCAATTTTAATGTTTTCCACTGTGCAGATCCCAGGCACTAAGTTTCTGCTTGTTTTTGCAATTGAATTTCAGACTTGTGTGAGGCGATCTCTCTGTCTGCAGCTTTGGGGTGTCTGGGGCATCAGACAGAGCCTCAGACCAAGCTAGATTTTGTTGTAATAATCCAAAATAAAGAAAAATGTACCACCTCCTGGCCCTGAGCTCATGACCTTCTCCAGGACACACCATTTCCTGTGGTGCAGCCACTCAGGATGGGGGAGAATGAGCTCTGTGCCCCCGATGTCAGAGTGCTTGGGACCCTGGGGCTGTGGGACCAACACCTCCAGCCCTGCTCTGGGACTGCTCTGGAGCACTGCAGGGGATGTGCTGGTGCAGGAGGGGCTGGAGATGGTGTCAGGACCATGGCAGTGAGGGGGTCACTGGTGTTTGCTGACACCTGCCTCTTGCCCTGGCTCCCAGCACAGGACTCATTACTGAGACGTTTTTGTAATGGGGTATGTAATACCTTCTCCAGATGTGATGTAAATACCAGACTGTGAAATAATAAATTCATTTTAATCTCTGCAAAAGATCTTTTCACTCAGCAGCAAAGGGAGGCTCTGGGAGTGCTTCTCATGCTGCTGAATCCGAGGTGAAGGGGCTGGGGACTCTGCCCGGGCCATTCCAGTCCCAACCAGCTTGTGCAATGATGGCTTTGGAGGAGAGCCTGTTGTTGCCTGCAAAGGCTGAGTGGCTCATAGTGGTCCTAAAGAAAAGTGCATTTATTTCTACAAGATGCTTTGCTGGGAGCTTCTCTTATCCTGTTGCTTCACCTTTATGTGGCAGCTCCCACTGCTGCAGTGCCACGTCCCCAAAGATGCTACCCCTACCAAAGGCCAGACTGTGATTTTAAGGTTCCCACTTGGATCCTGTGCCCTCTGAGAAACTAGACTGTCGAATACAGAGTGGGAATCTGTAATTTGCAGTAGGAAACACCGGGCTGTAGATGGGAACATCCCTGCATGGCTGAGCATTTTCATAGCTGGCTCATAATGTGAAGGATCCACTCTGCAGAAGTGGTGAGCTTGACACCTACATTGATATAAAAACATTTTATTGTCTGCATAATAGGCACCCTTGAAGCTTATTTTTCCCTTACAGCAGCCCACAGTTTAGTGAGGAAATAGCCCCTTGGTGTCTCTGCTGAGTGCTGACCTCGCTGCTGTCACACCATCAGAGTACACAAATACTGCAAATCGCTGCTCCTCTCCTGGCAGGTTTCCAAGGAAAACGCTGCAGCCTGCAGGACTGTGGTGCTACCTCTGGCTCCTGGGCAGCCAGGGAGGATGCCACTGCCACAACTTCTGGTCCTCTGCCCTTCTTCCACTCACTGTATTTTCAATGCTTTCCTTGGCCGAGCAGACAAACAGTCCTAGCAGGAGCAATAAATTGAGGAAGAGGGTGATGGGAACATCTCCGGGCTGAGACAAGGACTTTGATGCCCTGTCTCTTCACTGCCTCAGTGGGACAGTGCCACCTGCATGGTCCCCGGTGGCCTCGGACACCCTGACCCCTTCTCTCTGCACGTGACACGCTGTGGTCGCTGAAGGACAAATCCACCCCTGCAGCTGCATCAGCAGCTCGGACACCCCAAGCTCTCATGTCAGGGTCCCAGATCCACCCTGCCAAGTCCCCATCTTGAAGGGGAAATCTTGTGCCAGGTTCCATCTCGGCACATCTGTGCAGCTTGCAGAGACAAGATTTGAAGTTGCCCAAGGGGTGATTAGTCAGAGGAAACTGTCACAGTGAACATACATCTCCCTGGATATTATAATTACACCCCATTCAATTAGTCTTCTGGAAAAAAAGTCTTTTGTATTAAGATTTGGTGGAGAATTATTAGAGAGTGAATTAAAAGACAAGGATTTCATTTTACCTACAAATACTACAAGCATAATGCATAAAATACCCTCAAATTACAAGCTGACTAAATGTAAAGCTCTGCTAGGAGGTGAAATGAAAAGTAAAATGAAACCCTTTGAGCAGTACAAGGTGCAGTATTATCAAAGAAATAAGATGGAAACATAATTAACCACCCAGCATTATGCTGAAAGATGGCAAATTGAAATGGGAGACAAAATTAGGTGGAATTGCAGAACAAGCTCATTTATTTCTGCTTTATAAATCAGTGCTACCTGTCAGCAGTGATGCCAAGCTATTCCACAATAGGAGCTTTCCAAGGGAGGCTGTTCACAGGGACCTCACCTTGTCCACGTTGGGGCTGCTGTGCTCTCCTGGGTGGTGAGCTCTGTGTCACTGTGGGAGCAGGTGATGCCTCCAAGGGTCACATCCTTGGTGCCCTTTTCCTTCACCCAGCCATGGTGCTTTCAGGTCACATCTGGTCTATCCTCTTCCCCAAAAGCTGTCTCCCTTTCCCTGGTGCTCTGCTGCTCTTTGCTCTCGCCTTGTGACTTTTGCAAATGCTGCTCCTATGACATCTCACAGACAACCTACCATCAGTGGCCTCTTGCACTGGTGAGTTGAAGTCCAATTTAGGGCTGGAGGAGCATTTTCTGTGCTAAATTTCCTCCTCTCAGGCTTAATTGGCTCCTGTTCCCTATAACCTCTGCCCCCTTCACTCTCCTGCTGTTGTTCTGCTTGCTCCTCTCTGCCCATTTGCTTTATTGCTACTTTTTAATGAATTCAAACAAGAAAAGAATTGTTTTTTCCAGAAGTAGAAAGACTTTTGTTAGAATCATCTCAGCTATGCAAAACCATTCCTGTGCATCTCTCGTGCTGTGCTCAGGAATGGAGACACCTGGAACTGGCTTATCAGATGAGAAGCAGAATCTCTCATCCAGCTTACAGGATTCACAGAGGTGAGAGGTGCATGTGGCTGTTCTGGCACTCATATATTTGGACGTGAGCATGTGGGTCATGTTTTTTCCTAATTTGCCAATACCTTTCACTAAGAAACTACTCTTTTTTTTCCCCTCTGGCTTATTTGTAAGTAGATATATCCCTGTTTTGGGGATGTGAACCAAATGGCTTCAGCTTCCAGACATGCTGCCCCATCCCTGCCACCCTCAGGACAGAAGAAACAGCAGCCACAGCCCCCACCACCAGGATGTGGGGACAAGTGGCCATAGGGACAGGGGGCAATGGGCACCCTCCCCATTGCCTTGCATGCCATGGGCTCCATTAGAATCACTAAGATAAAAGGGCAACAGCACAGTCTTTTTTCTGGTTAATGCACTGTGGTAGGGCTGTTGGAAACATTAGACAGCTCTTCCAAAAATGCATCCTCATGTTATATTCAAATGTGCATTTGTGAAGATGTTCTTAAGGGAATGAATAAAAGATTCATTTAGATGCTACTGTGCAATGAAGGCAGTCGGGGCAGAAACCATGCTGCTTGCTCAGGGCAGAGCTGGCCTCGCTGCAGGCAGCCTGACTCCTGATCCCTGGGGATCACAGAATATCCTGAGCTGGAAGGGGCCCACAAGGATCATTGCTCCAGTTCCTGGCCCTGCACAGGACATCCCCAGGAACCCCACCATTTTTCTGGTGTGGATGAGAGATGCTGGCCCTTGCTGCCAGCTGCCTGGGAGACCCCAGCCCTCTGCAGAGGCTCTGGTGCACTCCTCCATGCAGAGCCCATGGATACATTCAGCCCTAGAGCTGTCACTGCTGAACAGGATGCTGAGACACTGGCACAGGTTGCCCAGAGAAGCTGTCTCCCACAACCCTGGAATTGTTCTAGGCCATGTTGGATGGGCCTTGAAGCAATCTGGTCTGGTAGAAGGTGTCCTTGCCCATGACAGGGCTGGAACAAGGTGATCTTTAAGGTTCCTTCAATCCAAACCATTCCACGGTTCTACAATTCTGCTGCATATTTTCTTCTGCCCAGGGTCAGTCCAGCTGTGCCACACTGAGGCACATGGCATAGGACAGCCTAGGGAGAGCTGCAGAGGTGGCACTGCACCAGAGAGCAGTGCCCATGTTCCATCTGGCTGCAATCAAAACCCCTGAGTCCCAAAAATGCCTAAGTCCCATCCCAAGCTGGCAGGAAAAATCCAGAGTCCCAAGCACCACCTCCACATCTGGGTCCCTGCATGCTTGGCAAAGCCACATCATAGAATCATAGAATCACAGAATCACAGAGAAATATGAGGGGATGCACGGACAGGGGTTCATCCTGGGCAGACTCTGCTTACTACCTGGATCAGGGATTAAATAGAGGCTCATTTTTATAAAGGGATTTCTAGCCTTATTTTTCTCCTGGAGGAGCTGCAGTGACCACAGCATAAAAAGAGCCATTGGCTGGGGCAGAGCAGAGAGGGAGGATGCAATTTAATTTGTGCATTTCCCAGCTTGTTAATCCCCTGATTTACTGCTGGTATTTGATTTCTGTAGCACTGCTTTATAATAAAGGGATTAGCCTGGACCACAGGTCTGTTCTGATGCTCATCTACTAGGGATTAGAGAGAAATTTTGCAGTTAGTTCATGGGTCAAATAGGTAGAAATGAAAATATGTGTATGGTTTAGTTGACATTTGCAGGAGCATTCAGTCTGTGATCCAGCACTGACTCTCCTGACCCATTCAGCATCCCCTGCTTCCTCTCTCATGGGGGCCCTGATCCTCTGCTTCCTGTCTCAGAGGGGTCCCAATCCCCTGCTCCCCGTGACAGGATAGTTTCAATCCCCTCTCATCTGTCTCATGGGCATCTCAGTGCCCTGTTCCCAGTCTCACAAGGGTCCCAATCCTCTGCAGTTTGGCCCAGAGCCCCAGAGCCAGGAGCCTCAGCATCTCTCCCTAGTCAGAGTGATGGATGGTGGCAACCAGCAGTGCCTCCAGCTGCCAGTGCTGGGCATGGTCAGAAGTACCTTGGCCAGTGTGTAAAATCCCTGTTAATTGTAATTTGATTTTTTCCTGTGCACGTCTGTGGCACCAGAGGTTAATATATTACCAGGCTGACCTGGATACCAGCAACTCAGACATCCCTAATAAATGCCTGCTAACTGAAAATACAGACAAATCAGCACATGCTCCATTTCCTTCTAATGGTGTGCTTTTCTCTGCTCTCAGCTTCCCCATGTGAGTCAGGAGCCAGTGCCCCTGGAGTCCTGTGCGGTAGGACTGGCTACCTCCCTCGTGTGCCTTCTCTGCAATGCTCCCAGCCCAGCCTGGGCCCCTGAGCCATCAGGAGTGAGATCCTGCAGGCAGAGAGATGCAAAATTGATTTATTGGTAACATGATACAGTGCACAGAGCCAGGATTAAGTAATGATCCAACTAAGCACTCCTGGATGTATTCATATTAGTGAGCTCTAAGTCAATCAATTATTTAAATATAATAATACTTAAATACACAGGGAATCCTGTGATTATTACAGGGGCTGAGACCACGTTAATTAACAGCAATAATAAATATTGTGGATACTCAGTTCTGGAAGGACTTTTTTCTGTGAGTTGTGAAAACTGTGCAGGAACTGCAAGGCTGGGAGGACATGAATATGGATCAATGGGATTATTGCATACACCAGCACCACAGGAAAAAATTAGTGTTTAAAATTTCCCACAAAGACA